TTGTTTAGTTTACAGTAGCATAACGAACCGTGGCACATTGCAAGTTTGGGCCCCTGATAATTTGGAAGCCAATTTTGCCAAAACTAGATTACAAAGTAAAACAAGCTGCGTAGTGTAGTGACCATTCATTTATCTGAAATTTGTGCACTCATGCCTTAAAGCTTTATTGATGACAGATGATCTGTAAGTCTTCCTATTTCAATCAAATGTGAATTGTCATTGTAGGAGAACCTTTTTGAAAAATTGTTTGTGAAAGTGATGTAGTTGTTGAGACGACAATGCCTCTGACTAATCAAGTTCTTACTAATGTTATCTCTGAAATGATAAAGATTCCTGCCTACTCATGTCAGTTGTCACGGGGTGGGGCTCACACTTCTCCTTCAAAAAAGGCAGGGGGGGGGGCTAGTCCCTGGTTGGTCAAGTTTTTTCATTCTTTATCATTTAGAGTAGTGTCGGAACCTTAATTTACTTTGCTTTAGGGCATCTCTAGCCGAACCCCTATCCTATAACTCCTGAAATGCTCCCCCAAACCATAAGTCCTCAAACATGAGTAGTTAAGATAGGGGCAGACCTAACTGAACCCCTATATTTAACTCCCTAATTTTCTTTGGACTAATTCTTCCACCCCTTGTCACATACAATTCAAACAATTGCATGGTGTTTCATCAATCATTTGAATGACTCAAATTCACCATATGCAACAATTCAACCACAAACATACATGTAGTTCATCTGGTCGAAACAATTCAAATTAACACATGCATATACTTCATCAAATAGCCATCAAATCAATCTAGTTTGATCCAAAAAACCACAACATGGCATGTCTTATGTCGTGGACCAAGCCCTATCAAATGCATACTACAATAACTCAAGTACTAACGTGCTCATCACCACCACGGGCACCACCATGTCCACCACCATCACCACTACGGCCGACCTCTAATTGGGCCAAGATCTCCCCATGAGTGAATTCCCAATACCTCCTTGCCGTGGAATCAATCGTGCTCAGGTTCATGAACATGATAGCATGCTCTTTGGCCTTCTTCTTTTTTGCAAGCCTCTCATCCTCGAGTGCAATCCTCCGCTCCTCCGCTCCCACCTTCTTTGCTTTCTCCATCAACTTTGCTCTCCACTTCTCATCCTCCATGAGCTTGAGCTCGTTCCACCTCGCCGCCTTTTCTTCTTTGCATTTGGTCGCCAAAGCTTTCTTGGTCTCAATCATAGCACAAAGCTCCTCTTTGTAGGCGCCGCCGCCTCCATTCTTCTTCCTCTCTCTTGCAATCTTTTGCCCATCCGGCCTTTTGTGAGGATTTTCATCCTCCTTGTCATCGGCTTCAACGAATATGCTAATTTGTGACCTCTTTGGCGTGGTTTCGGAATTCCTCCGGATCCACTTCTCATTGCCAACTAGTTCCTTGTAGCAATGGTACAATGTGAATGCCTTGCCACCGCCCTTTTTGTTGCGTTGTTTGTATAGCTCTTGGATGGGAGGCCCATCGTGGTTGGCACCCCACTCGGTGGTGCATGGTTGACCTGATCAATGCAACCGGACCATCGGTTGCATTGCTCTTGGATCACACTCCACCGGTGGGAAAGTGAGCCTCGAGTGCGGCGGGGAATGGACGGTTACATTTTACAATAGTAGTCTTCAATCCTACTCCAAAACTTCTCTTTTGTTTGACTCATACAATCAAGGCATTCATCCAAGCAAAGTACAAAGCAATGTCCTCTTCTTGGTCGTACTTCATTGTCCTTGACCTCTTGGTGCTTGATTGTGTCTCCATGGGATCATCGACCTCCACTCCGGGATCATCCTCCTCCTCGCTCTATTGTTCTTGATCATACCGCGCACCATCATAATCGAGATCGTCAGAGGCTGAGTATGTGTGGTGCATCCAATTGAGACATGAAAGTTGCAACATCATGCTCCTCCACACTACAATCAACAACAACAAGCACATCACAAGATCGCCGCCGCAAACCATCACCAATATCCTTCGCAAAAAAGAAAAGCACAACTTTACCTCTTGGGTATTGTCGTCGAACACTTGGTGGCCATGGACCTCGGCCGCGGCTGCGACGGCCTAACGTGCCGGAGGAGGAGATGGGGGTTGCCGAAGAAGGGCAGCTAGGCACCGGACGTGGGGAAGGCGTCGGCGTGGACGCCTTTACTTTTCTTTGCCCCCGCCTTGGTGAGGGCCTTCCCGGCCGCCGTCGGCTTCCTCGCCCGCTTTCCATCGGCCGAAGCACTGGTCATCCATCTTCGCGGCTGGCGCGGCCTTGCCGCCGACCTTTGTTCACGGCACGGATCCGCTTCCTTGACGCGGACGGTGACACGGTGGTCGGCTCCGGCGGCTTAGCGTGCGGGCTTGAGGAGGAGGTTTGCGGTCCCATTCCTGTCTGAATCGGGGTTTCCAGTGACTAGTGGCGACATTGCGCGGCGGTGGCGGGAAGACGAGGTGCCGCATGCGCGATTTAGGAGGGGTGGAAATTTTGCTGAGAATTGGTTGTGGCCACTTAAAAACGAGAGAGTTGGCAAGGTTTGGGAGTTTTGAGGAGTTAGCTGGATAAGAGTTGGGCTAGGTGTGGTTAACTCCTCAAAAGAGAATATTTTGAGGAATTAACCCTTTTTAAGGGATCGGCTAGAGATGCCCTTACTCTGATTACTTTTACTTGCTCTCTTCTCTTTTTGGTTTTCACATGTTTCTGTTGGCTTTCATCTCTAGCCTACCGTCGTATCATTGAGGGTTCTATAGGCCTTGTTTCAAAATATGTGTTGCAGTTGTTCCTAAATTTCTGTGCTTAGTCACATCTCTAACATTCAGTTATGACTTTATGCACAAATTTGAAGTTGCAAGGCAACATTATATTAATTAACAAATATAAGCTGCAAGCAAGTGGCCGGATGTAATTGAACTACTCGTGCCAATATTGCAGGTATTGGCTTACCTGCTGCTGTCAGCGTCTTCAGCAGCGCTTTCTCGCAATGATGTGTGGGTGTCTAGATTTGGCGTGGATCAGTTCGCCAAACTTATCAATGCCTCAGGCTCAATGGCGTTCTTAGCTTTCATTGCACTTGGTCTGAGCTCCATCATCTCTGCTCGTCGTGTATTCAGCTCAATCCCTTAAACCTGTGGTGTGCATTACTGATGTAAATATTATGCTCTAGATGTACGTTGGCATGCCACCTGTGTGACCCTTTTTCTCTGCAACTTATGTTGCTGGTTGTGTCGCAACCATACATTAAATTCAAGACAGACTGTTCAAACACGGGTGGATGTACAAGTATATGAGCTTACTAACTTGGGGACCTATGATTCTGTAAGAAAATGTTATAGAGCCCTAAGGGATTAAAAGGCGTTATGGGTGGCCACTGCAGTGCCAATGATATGTTCCTGTATTTGGTGAAATTTTCCATTGATTCCTGTATGTGCTGAAATTGTCCATGTGATTCCTGTATGTGGTGACATTTTTCATGTGAATCCCGTATGTTAGTACATCTAGTTCTCCACAGGTGAGCTTAGCTTGGTGAAATTTCAGCATAGGAGTTCATAAGTAAGCAGTGCCAGTGACATATTGAGGTTAAATGCTGACAGTTTCTTTTAACTTGGGTAAGAGGTAGCAGGTTGTAATTGTATTGTAATTATAAAGACCGTATGGACACTTAATCTCTTCACCTCTAGGGCTTGTTTGGAAAATTGTTTCATAAAAAGTTTTGTACTTGGTTCAGATTACAGGGCTGTTTGGTTTGTGACTAACTTTGCCAAAGATTGCCACACCTAAGGTTAGACAAATTTGACCAACTTAAATGAGTGTTTGGTTCCAGCCACACCTTAGTCAAGCCATACTTGGGCCCCACATGACCTACATATAAAAATGTGGCAAGATCCTTTAGGCTTGCCAACTTGTGGCTCTCATTTTGATGAACTAAATGAGTAAAGCTTAGGCAATCTTGGCAAAAATATGTGGCAAAATGTGGCAATGCTAGGCCTAGAACCAAACTACTCCTACATACCAAGACTTTACCCAGAAATATCATTCTTACTAACTTGTCCAGAAAAGAGAAAATTGCTAAATTCCTTTGTTAGCATTTCCATAGGCCTAATTCATAGTGTTGTGATATATTGGCCTCCTTTTTTCATCAGTTCAAACTTTTGAAGTAACGGGTCGAAGCATGAGTTCAATAAATGCTTTATTTTTAATTTCTAAGTAAATTGTCATGGTCATCTCCGAACTATCCGTATCTGTTTACCTAGTTTTCATCTTCTGGCCCATGTGTGTGGTCATTCATTTCTGTAGGCAAATTCATAAAGCTTTATTCATCCAGAAATAATGTTTACATGGACAAGTACATGACCATAGGGCTGGCCAAATCAGACATGGCGATCAAAACCTAGACTATGAGCGTACTTTTGAGAGGCTGTGAGCTTCAAAATTAATGTTTGTAAGCTCATGGACAAAACTACATGAATTGAAAGCTGAAGAGTGTTCTTTGATTTCCTGTATGATTGCAGCATAGCAAGCTGCGGATCCTTGCTCGATATCATCGATCACCACCTTACAATCTAATGCGATGTGTATCCGCTGGACATAAAGATGTTCCGCAAGGGCTAGTGCTTCTCTTGCGGCAAGACCCTCCAGTGTTGCCGGATCGTTAATACCACTTTGTTCTTTTATTTTTGACTTTGAGATAGTTTTTTTTCTTTTGAGATTTTTAGCACTTTTTGAGATACTTATTAATACCACCACTTTTTTTTTGACCGCATTTTTTTTTGAGACCGCATATTAATACCACCACTTGACATGGAAGGGGCCTCACAGTTCGGTCCAAGGGCACCAAACAAACAAGGCGCCATCGTTTTCGAGGCCCAGGCCCAGGCCCATCTACTCCTGAAGGCACGGGCACCGGAAGGAAGAAGCGCAGCCGCGCCGCGCAGACAACACCACCCTACTCCAGCGTCGACGCCGTCACGCCGCCAGCCCGCCGTCCCTGAGCAATGGAGTCGAGGAAGCCGCAGCGCTCCGCTCTCGTCGACAGCTATGTGGTAAATCCTCCATCCTTTCCTTGGATATCCCAGCATCTCGCTCGCTATCTCCGCGGATTTCGACTAACTCCCCCGCCTCGCCGTCGACGCTCAGGTCCCCGGCGACGTCATCCTGGACCTCGCCGATATGACCAACCAGACCATCAAGCTCGGCGCCGGTCTGCGCCAGGTAAAACATCCCGTGTTGTAAAGTGGGAATCGGCTGCCCCTTCCGAGGTTTAGGGATTAGGGTTTTAATGGGGGTTCATTTTGGGTAACGAGGCTTACGGTTCATTCGTGGGGGCTCGCAGGATTGTGACACTATCCAGGCAACTAGTGCTGGGAGGCTTCGACTGTCCAAGCCCAACAAGTACTGGGTGGAGAACTCCCAGAAGAGGGTGAGTCCTCTGGTTTGCGCTCATAGATGCTTTTTCACACTATAGAAATTGTTCCTATGTAGGATATCGTATGTGTGACTTTTATCTCTGCTTGAAAGAAACCGTTGAGATTTATCATTGCTATGATATGAGAATGTGAAATTCTTGAACAGGTATGCTCACTTTGTATATTGTAGCCACCATATGCTGTTTTTTCATGTAACTAATTTTTCTCACACTTCATGCTCATGGTTTGACTGAAGGAAATTTATGCTGATATTCCTATGTTGTGACCCTTGCTACCAATATCACTAAACTAATGTGGAAGCTTAAGTGCCACTATTGTGGACTGGGTCATGTTAATACAATGCTACGCAACTTCCAGCACTGATGCACACTAACATTCATTTGGAATTGTCATGGACTCATAGTTACCTTTCAAGTATGCAGTGTATATGTATTGTTCCGGCCTTTGTTTTGGATCAAGTTTCAACTCTTCATTGCTTGAGCATGTTGATTTCTCTTCAGCTTTTTCAAACACAGTTAATCAGTTTGATAAACTCTACCTTGTCTCCCTCTGTAAGGGAGTATATGAGATTGTGCATAGTATGCTTTTTCAGTGTTCAGTCTCCTTGTGTTCTGTTTCAATGACTGCCTATTCATACAATGCTTGTTGTTTTTTTGGCAGTATGTACCTTCTGTAGAAGACACGGTTCTTGGTATCGTAGTTGACACCAAACCAGATGTAAGTATACATTTGCCTTTAGAAGTACTTCCAGCTCGATTTCTAGTCTTATGATCGCTTTTATAACCATCTGATTATAAATCTGATGACATCCTCCCTGTTATTACAATTGAAATATACTCCCTCCGTTTCTAAATATAAGTCTTTCTAGAGATTTCAATATGAACTACATGCGGATGTATATAGACATATTTTAGAGTGTAGATTCACTCATTTTGCTCCGTATGTAGTCTATATAGACTTATATTTAGGAACGGAGGGAGTGTATCTAAAGTCAAAATGAGCATTCGCGAATTTTACCATAGGACGGTGACCAGAAGCATAATTTTAAATGTTACTTTAATTAATTTATTCTGTATGCGTATGATGTGTTCTTATGGATTCTTTCCCTTCTGCTGAGCTGGATTTGGTTATTCCAGAACTTCTTGGTGGACATAAAGGGGCCTAATTTGGCCTTTTTACCAGTTCTCTCATTTGAAGGTGGTACAAGGAGGAACATACCAAAGTTTGAGGTATGGCATTGAGTCATTAATGGTTGTAGAACCTTTTCTTTCCAATTATAGGTTATTTTGTGTGAAGCACACAGTGCTCTTCTTCCTTTATTGGCCATCAAAGAAGGAACCATTTTTAATAGTTACTAGGAAAATGCCCGTGCATTGCAACGGGGATACACTAACGAAACGGGATGCCATGATAGAAAAATGTTGGCATGGTAGCAAAATTGTGGAAGAAAATGCTGCACCATGGCAACGAGAACGGGTCGTAACAGCAGAAAACCATCAGTTGTATAAGTTCCACTGACGTGCTTGTGCTCCTCATCTTCCTTCGCCGTCGACGCTCGCATAGTCGCCGGCGTCCGAATCCATCGCTAAGGCAGCTTTTATGCGGTCCATGCAATTGTTGATGCTCTAGCTCGCCATGACCTTTGTCAGTTGGCCATTCGCGCCACCTCAGCCTCAATATGGACTGAGCATCGCCGCCATCACCGTAACCTTCTTGATTCGTATGGGGATGACGGTCATGGCTGCGGGTTCAACCGTTCAAGTGCATTGAAGCATTTATAGTATATCATCCAGGCCCGGGGTCTAAACAGCGAAAACCCAATGGAGTGCATACAACATGGAAATGCAACATTTTAACTTCTAGTCGCTATTAGTTTTGTATCTACCCTATTGAAATGCAATATCCAAAACCCTAGTTTTGTTTTTTCTTTAGTATTACTTGGGCTCATTTTCGTAGTCTATTTTTTCCTTTAGTGTTGACTGAGATAAAACAAAGCGAACATATGGACATGCTTATGAATCATCCTTCCGTGCATTGTCCTCTGGTTCCGAGTACACCTTGTCGTTGAAGTATGCTGCCAAGGTTCAAAGTGCTGTGGTTCCAGTAGCCGCCCACCCGGCTGTGGAACACGCCCATCGTACTGCACGCCTCCGAACTTGGTGACAACTGATGACAGACGGCAGCATGCGTGGGGCTCCCTGCAGACTGTTCGCCACCTGGGAGCCGCAGATGTGGACCACATATCCTGCAGGTTCCGTTGTGGCCACGTAGCGAAGCTCCATGCAGATCTCGTGGTGGTCGCATGGCATGGCGCGTATGTGATTTTTTAGGAGTCTAAAAATGATGGCAGGGAAGGTGCTGAAGGCCTGCGCCGTCGGCTGCTTGGTGCCATGGTGACCAGAGCGGCAAGTCAAGGTCCAGCCGGCACGGGGAGACGCGGGCCGGCCGGCCACGACATGGCGAGTTCCTGTGGGAGGCGATACTTTGTTTAATTGCTCGAATCAAATCTGATCGGGGGATTGGGTGGCGATCTCTTCCTTCCAAGAGAGATGTGCTTCCAACTGGTGATCATAACATGAGGCGAAGAAAAAGAGGAGAAAATGAAAGAGAAGAGATCTTTCCTGTTCATTTGGTGCAGGTGGGGAGGGGCGGATGACGAAGAGGGATGGAACGGGGAACACTAAGTTTCTTTAGACAGGAGAGATTTACCATATTTTTAGTTGGCCATTGAACTTTAATTATTTTTCTTTGAGTAGCTATTTGGCATATCATATGTTTTTTCTTATAAAATTAACATGAATTCATTGATTGGATCAAATTATTATGTATCTTAGTAGATACTGAAATCTTACATGGTGCAATTTTTAGTTTTTTCTTTATCTTGTATGGAGTGCATACGTTTTTATGCAAAATATAGGGTTTGATAATTGAATTTCGAAAAGTGTTGAGCTGTTTTAATTTGTGATGCATTTTTGTCATTTTTTGGGTCAATTTCACTTGTTTGTTGATTCCGATCTGTCCTCAGTCGTTACATTGAAATAGCCGCCCCGTTATGTAGCTTCAAATTCATTACATGCACTCAATGATGTTTGTGTTGTAACAATTTGTCAAATACTGGATGCGGGTGTTATACTTAAGTAGGGATTATATGCCTTAAAAATATGATCTCAGCTTGTAATGATTCCGAAAGGTTGCAGTTTCTGTGCCTAATATTCAGTTTCCTTCCTTGAGCTTGATGCATGGTTATTATAAATACTTACTGTGTGTTTTCTCCTGCAGATTGGTACATTAATATATGCCAGAGTGGTGAAAGCAAATAGCATTATGAATCCAGAGCTTTCATGCATGGATGGTAACTTGCTAATTTCATAATTCAGTGTTTCTATGAGTTTCAAAATTAGAAGTTCAAAAATACATCATGTTGGGAATCTTGGCTCATATGGCTGTGAGATCTTGGAGTACAGTGTTTTGTGCCAAACTGTTGCATTTTTGTTTCCTTGTACTGCTATCCAAATATAATGATATGGACTATCTTTTACAGCAAGTGGAAAAGCTGCTGAATTTGGTCAACTGAAAAGTGGTTATACGTTTGAAACATCAACTGGCCTGGCAAGAATGTGAGATGAATGCATGCCATAATCTTTCAGTAATGTGCTAGTATTACTATTCTCCTTCATATATTTATTATGTTGATTACTTGTAGGCTTTTAAGTTCCCCAACATGTCCACTTCTAGAGGCCCTTGGGAAAAAACTATCATTTGAGATAGCTGTTGGACTGAATGGTCGAGTATGGGTATGCTTCTGATATAATCGTGTTTTTCTTTCTCTTTTGAAAACTTGGAAATTATTAATGCATGTTGTGCTTGTTAATTGCTTATATTACCCTATTTATGTCCTGTAGGTGAATGCTCCTTCGCCAAGTAATGTCATTGTTGTATCAAGTGCAATTAAAGAATCAGAATCTTATAGTCGCTTACAACAAAAAACCATGGTGGAAAAACTCCTGGCTAAACTGTCATGATGGTAAGTCAGCACATAGTTATTCAAACTTATAACGTGGGGTGGCACCTCATTCTCATTAGTGTGTACTGGTAAATACTCCCTCCGTATCAAAATATAAGACATTTTTTGACCATCATAGTGTTAAAAACGCCTTATATTTTGATAGAGGGAGTAATATATGACCAGTTTTTTCTCCTTGGAAAATGCATTGCACTGTGCTGAATATTTTGATTGCTGCAGTTCTCACTGAGCTTTATGCATTTGTCAACAGTGCACCTACGTCATGCATCCTGCATAAGGTGAACAACAGGATAACATCATTTTACATGTTTCAGAATTTATACAATTATTAAATAGACTTTTGAGTCGCGAATACATAGCTTCTACTTCCTCCGTTCCTAAATATAAGTCTTTTTAGACATTTCAAATGGACTACAAAATACGGATGTATGTAGACATATTTTAGAGTGTAGATTCACTCATTTTGCTCCGTGTGTAGTCACTTGTTGGAATCTCTAAAAAGACTTATACATTTGGGAGCGGAGGGAGTACATATGGTCAGCAGCATGCGAACCATTTGTACACTTAAATGTAGACTTCTTGATCGCAAATGTTAATTCTTCCCTTTTTTTTCTTCACTGGATCAATGGACACCGAGACATAACTATTGCTTCATCACGGAGCGATATCATAATCTATTCCACTGGGTTAAGGAGAAGATTGCACTGCATGTTTCATGTCTGCTGTTGTTGATTGAGAAGTGTTGGAAAATTTGACTGCATCTTCCCTTGCAGGGAGCAGGACATAATCAGGCACTGTAAAAGGATTCTGAATTATTGTTTGTCAAACGCGGCAGATGATTCTGCAACTGGAAAGATGGCTAGTCATTATCATGCACCTTACCAAGGAATAGTAGATGGGATGGCATGTAAAATAGACGCGTTAAAGTGGTTGGTGCTTTTTGATGATGCAGGGGCTAAAGCAACCGGTTGATTGGTAAACGTTCTAAATCACCGGGTGGATGTTGTACTTGCGGATACATGGTTTCTTAGCTTTGTAATATGCTACTGTAAGAGATTTGCACAAGGCTGCGTGTGCTGCTCTATTAGAAGATGATTGATGGATGTTACTCCTATATTTTATAAATTTATGGTGTGAAACTATCACACTGAGCTCTGTAAGCAAAATCAGCTGAAGTCCTGCTCAATGATATGGCGCATGATTTCACGTTTCTTGACACGAAAACGTAGCAGAACTGGTTTGTACTGATCCGGCAATTACAACTTTTAGACACTCGCTCCCGCGCCTGAGATGCGATCGTCCAACGGCTCGCAGGTGGCTCTGGAACATTTTACAAAGAAGCCCCTCAAAAGTTTAGGAATTGCGCGCAGGTACAGCAGCCTCTTAGATGCGTTGGATCTGAGATCCAACGGCCCAAAACCCGTATACCCTAGGTCTCGTTATCACCTGAAACTTTCCTGCAGATCACAAGCGCGCAAACGTGACGCCTCCCGATTCCCCAACAAACTGTCCACCCAAGCTCAAAAAAAAAAAAAAACTGTCCACCCTCTCCGTCCCGCGCTGCGCCATGCACAGGCAGGTCGGCACCGTCCGCTTGCCCGAATGCCCAGCCGACACGCAGACACGGGACACGGAGTCCCAACGCACCGCCAGCCACGGCGCTCTCTCTTGA